CTTGTCTCTCCTGTACAAGTGTCTCAGCTGTTATACTTGTAAGAGATGTATAAGTGAAGCTACTCTGGATGAAATGGAGAGGATAGATCAGAGGAGGTCACTGGATGACAAGAAGACCACTCTATTGACTGCCATGCAAGAAACAGTGTCTAGCGACTACAGGAAACTTAAAGATATTGCCACAGTGCTGTCTGATGTTGAAGAAACAAGAGCTGTAGCTAATAAAATGATGGCCAAATATGGTAAAATTATGAATATTGGTAACATTTTTTTATTGGTAAATAATAGTGGAAAAAATTCCTCAAGAAGATGATGGTACAGCAGTACAACCACAGGAGGCAGTAGGTGGTAATGAAGATCGTGCTAGTGATATATTGAGGAATAATTATAGTGCTCTTTCTCAGTCAATTACTGAACCAGTTCGTATAGCAAAGTTGCTTCATGAAGAGGTTATACCTGATGAGGCTCTGTCTTGTGTCATATCTACCAGAAGTACTATCTCTGACAGTAGAGCAGTTCTCCTCAAAGCTGTACGAGATGCTGTTCACTCCAATTACAAACACCTGGAGTTGTTTGTTACTGTATTGAGGAAGTTTTCAGAGACTGCTCGTATTGGAGATACTATTTTTGAAGAATACAGTAAAATTACACTTTCTCCTTGAAAGTTATATTTATTTTAGGAAAACATTGTGACTGTTATGATGATGATGATGATGTTGAAGATGGTGTAGCAAAGCATCTTCCCATAGAAAAGTCCATGTCTACTAGTTCAGAAAGTATAACATAATAATTCTAACTTTAATTGTCAATTAACAACAGGTTCATCTTTGGATGATGGAGAAATGAATAAACATGGTGATCATAAAATCCTTTTTTCCCGTAGTATGAAGAAAGAGTTTAAAAGAATGAGAATGAAGTTTGGCTCTACATTTTATCAAGTTCAGCGTAGTTTTTCCAACAGAAAAGACATTTTAATTATTGATGACGTAAAGGAACTAATTATTCACTGGTTTCCTGATCTCGCATCTGAACTTTCTTATAAGAAGACCATTGGTGATGTATTAAATGTAGTGAAAAGAAAGTGCAATATCATTGACTTACATCCCCTTGAAAATTTAGCCTCTGAATTCAACATAGATGATGCTAAACCAGTCATTAAGTCTTACAAAGAGGAAGCTAAGGATTTCTGTAAGTCAATATCAGTGAATCTTTGTCTTGATGAGAAGCTACAAGCAGTTGCTACTCCGTCTCGCCTTTTATGTGAAACTGTTGTATTTGTGTTCAACTGGGATCCTGATGAAACTACATTGCAGGATATCAATGATGTATTGGATGAGTTGGAGCTACTGGATAAGTGCCGCATACAGATTGATAAAGTTGGCCCTGGTAAATCAGTTATAGTGACCTGCTACTGTCCTGCTGAATACACTGGGTTGCTTAAAAGCATTGTCCTTGAGAAGATAGATATGCTGCGAAGGGAAGGACTAAAGGAATTTATTATAGGCAAAGATACTGTATGGGATGCTCAAGTTAGCCTAATGTTTTAAACTTATGTATTAACTATTTTCCTCTTAAAGGACTTGCTAGTGCAGATTAATGATCTGAAAACTGCTTTAAGAGACAGAGATGAAAAGATAAAGGGTAAGAGATGTACATGTATGTAATAATCCTTTATTTAACATTTTATATAGCTGCTGAAACAGATTTAGCAAGATTCAAAGAACTATCAGAAAACAGATTAAAGAAAATAGAAACATTAGAAATTAATCTTGAAGAAAGTCGGCACATTAATGGTATGATTTATAGTTTTAAAGTCTATTAGTTTAATTATCATAAATTTAATAGTTCAAAATGAAGAAAAGATTAATGAACTTAAAGAAAAAATGTCATCACTGACAGAAGAAGTGGCAGAAAAAGAAACTATGTTGAAACAATATTTGAAAGAGAAAGAAGGTAATTGGGTTTATTTGTCTTGTAGTTGATAACAATTCTTATTGTACTACACTACTTTTTTACACGCTATTGCTGCATATGCTTTAAACAAATAAAATTGCATTGACCTCTTGTCATTGTAACTTCCAACAGATACTGAGAAAGAGTTAGCATCATTGAAGGAACAGTCAGAGAACAGACTACAAGAAATAGAACAATTGAGACTAAAATTTGAAGAGAGCAACAGTATGTGTAATGCATAAAGATATTATTATTACTACTACTGCTATCAGCAACTTATACAATAGCAACTTTGC